CTAAAGACATTTTCAGGATTCCTAAAGAACTTTTAAGCAAAAATTTTCACATGCCTGTGCAGTATGACAAATATAACAAAACAAAAAAAGCAATGCTACAGTGTTATGAACAATCAGTGCTCTATTCTTCTTTTTTGCTTACCTCAGCTTGTGGCAAAGTTGATGTGTCCCACTGTGGAGGTGAATAGTGAGGAAGAGGCTGTGTCTGGGCCTGTTTTTGCAGGAAAAATCCTGGAAGAACCAGCTTTTCATCAGTCATTACGCCAAATGCGTTCATTTACTGTCTAAATGTACACAGAAAATTGCTTCATGACTGTTTGTTTGGTCAAACCGTGGCCTGAAGGGGAGATGGACAGTGGTGGGTCATTTATGGATGGCAGGTACTCAGATGCACAGTTCTCTGAAAATACTGACTCCAATACTGGTGATAACTTGTGATTGTTTGAGAAAGAAGCTTATTACTTTGTTAAAAAAATAAAATAATGTATTAAACTTTACGAAAGCAGTAACTGACCTGTCTATGTTTGATCCTCTGTGGACTCGTTTGTTCCCTGATCTCTTTAACACTAGTTTAAAACAGACAAGAAGTCAAACAGTTTGCTTTGTGCAAATAATCAAAAGGCTTCGATGTTCCTGCCCTGTGGTGTGGATTTCACCAGCTTCACCTGCTCTGAGCTGCTCCCTCCACAAAGTTGAGACGGGATGGAGAACAAGGGCTCATTGGAAGAACAATCTTATGCCTGGATCCTTTAGACTTGCCAAATGTGGCTACTTTTGGAGGTTCTGGGGGAAACAATGGAAAACCACTTTGTATTTCATTAAATACTACTTAGATTAAATGTTTTAAATTGAAAAAGGCTTTTTTCTCTTAGACCATTACAGACAGGCCCATCATGTTCACTATTTTTTTCTTCTTCTAATTTTACACTTAAAAAAAAACTGAAACATGCAGGCTGACATTAATTTATTAAGATTAAAGCATTTTTTTCAGGACACGATTGGCATAAAACTAATTAAAGCATTTGTAAAGCCTTAAAGCACTATGCTCCATATAATAGTGGTTTGGAAAAGCTATCCTGCCCTGGCTGATGTAATATGACTGTAGGGTTGCAACTAATGGTTATTTTGCAAATTGATTAATCTGTTGATTATTTTTTGAATTAACAGATTAATAATCAGACAGCAAAAGGTTCCTTAAAGAAGACTTTTCAAAAAATTAAACCAGGTGAAACTAAAACGATTCCACATGAGGAGTTCTAGATAGAGCATATTGACAGAAAAAAAAGATTTTTATCTTAGATCCAAAATGTTTACATATTGTTTTTAACAATTTTGGTACAATTTTTGCTCAAGGATTAGTTGATTTGTCAGCTAAAGGTACATTTTAGAGTATCTAAACTCCAGTTAACGATTAATCTATTACTAAATTAGTTGATGATTATTTCAATAATCAATTAATCCATTTAATTGATTCAGTCCTAATTGACTGTAAACATTACAAAGATAAAAACAAAATAGAAGGTCCTGGGCTGGGTTAAAGCTCCTCTTGATTTCAATAAAATGCACTAAGATATTCTACATTTACTATGTAAAACTTGTTATTTTTGCTTATTTAAAAGCAATAAACTAATTTCCAGAGACAAAAAGCATCATGAGGGAATTTCCTGATACATACTCTAATATTTAACATGATTTCCATTTTTTTCATGGCTGTTTGATTGTAACTTTACCTTGATTAGTTTTTGTGGAAGCTATCTGGTTGACAACAAACAAGGTAAGAAGGTCTGTGCTCCCATTGCTGATGTCTCCTGCAGAGCTAGCAGGAGGAGCTACTCCCAGCTTCTGTAGTTTTTGCTGCAGCTTTTTCTTCGCAAAAAACTCCTTTGACATAAAAGGAAAATAATAAATTACACCAAAGAGCGGCTGATTTATGAGCAATTAGTAAAAACCATCAATTAATTTAAAATACATGTCTTACCTTTTGCTTTTTTGCATCATTCTTCATCATCAACCGATTCCTAAAAGAGAGCAGCCATTTTTGCTAGCTAACATGTACATTTCACGAGCTAACATGTACATTTCAGGACTGCACAGCTGAGAAAAATATTTATTCGACTCTTACCTGGAACCCCCGATCCAATTCATTTCTTTGGCAGTTTCGGTCCGATAAAACTATTTAAAACCAACGTTTAACGGTTAATTTTATGACATATATATTTAGCTAATGAGCTTGTCAACGGTGGGTCGCGAGGCGAAGGCTGCACATATCGCACGCGCCGCTAGGTCAGGAAGCTCCTTTGTTTTTATTGGTTGGAAATGGGCGAATTTACTTTAAATTATTTGTCTTTTACATTTTTTTAACGGCAGTATTTTCTTATTATTAATAAAACTTATTGGTGAAGAATTAAATTAGAGTCGGGATTTGTTGAAACAGTTCAAGGTATATAAACTTTAACTTGAATTTGAAAGAAACCAAGGCTGTTATAGCCATAGATATCTATGGTTATAGCTATGTCATCCATCCATATTATTCTGACCCACTTCCGGTGTTAGGTTACACTAGCAGTAGACCAATAAACGTTGTTTGTGTTTTAATTAGGAAATAACCAGTCGAAATAATTAAAAAGACACTTCATTAAAATGATATGGCTTTTAATAACCTACCTGTCTTAATAATACATAAATTATTAGCAACAGAAATACAGGTTTGCATTAATTAGGTAGCCAACATGGGTTAGTGGGGATTTGTTTACAGATAATACATTGGTTATAGAGGGGGAAAAAAACAACAACAACAAAAAACTTGGGTCAAGAATTATGGAAGAGGATTAGGGGCATTGAAAAAATAAAAATAGAAAATAAGTTATCTGTTTTTTTTTATTATTATTTAATTCAGTTTAATATGGGAAAAAATAATTCACGACGTTTTTCTCAGAATTGTGACTTTAATCTCATAATTCTGACCTTTCCTCAAGATTCTGACTTTTTTCTTAGAATTCTGACTTTAATCTCAGCCCTATGAATTTTTTTCTCAGAATTCTGACTTTAATCTCAGTATTCTGACTTTTTTTATCAGAATTCAGACGTTTTTCTCGGAATTCTGACTTTTCTGAGAATTAAGACGTTTTTCTCAGATACTGACTTCAATCTCATATTATACTGAAATAAAATTAAAAAATCAGTTAACCCTTTTTATTTTTTCAGTGGCCCTAATCCTCTTCCATATGAACTAAATGTGTATAGGAATGTTATTAACGTTTTTCTTTTTTTTTTTTTTTGCCCAAATATTTTTTATTCAATTTTAACATTCTTATTAACACACACTGAACAAAGCACAGTATATAAAAACACATCCAAACATATACCAAATTAAAATTACAGCACTAAAACAGAAAGAACCAAACTATAAATAATAAAATTAAGAATAAAATGCTTCTAAGCATACACTTGACATCAAAATACCTCCGTACTCTTCCAGAAAGGATAAGAATGGATACCATATCTCCTCAAATGTGTTACATTTACTATTCACTATATAAGTCATTTTTTCCATGGCCATGTTAGTTACCATTTCTTTCGGGCAGTCATTTACATGCGGTGCTTGGACTTTTTACAAAACGAAGCTATAAGACGCTTGGCTTATAAGAAACACATGTCAAGGAAAATTAATTCCTTCTTCTCAAAGGCATTTCAGGAGGATATAAGTGCAAAACAACTGTGTTTGCTGATAATGGTAGATTAATACTTGTCATTTTATTGATTATATCCCTCACCCCTTTCCAGAAAAACATTATATGTTCACACTCTCATATGCAATGATAAAAATCACCTTTGAATGTGTTGCATTTTGTGCAGGTATCAGGAAGTTTTATTATACTTGTGTAGAATAGCTGGAGTTATGTAAGTCCGCATCAACCATTTATATTGCAATAATTTCAGTCGTACACTTATTGTTTGTGTCTGAGCTTCCTTACATGCCTCTGTCCAATCACTCTCACATAGATCTTCTTCTAAGATCTGTCTTAGAAGACAGGCTTTTAATTTATTAACTGCCGATTCTTTTGATTCTGATGCTATAATTCTGTATAGGTGCCACATTAAACCTCTTGCATAGCAGTCTTTTACCATTTCTGTCTCTAACCTGTTTAGTACTGGCATGTCTAAAGAATTCCTTTGAGCTACAAAAATAAAGTTTCTTATTTGTAAATATTTAAAGAAGTGCTTTGTAAAGGGATTATGTAAATACTTTAAATTTAGAGTATAAAGATAAAGTTTTAACAGCCTTTTTGTTATTGGAAGTGGACAATGTAGACCAGCTCCTGGTTATTAAACAATATTGTTTTATTTATTTTTTTTATCTAGAAAACATACATGATTAAAAACACTTTTAAGACAGTTTATATCTTAAGTTAAATTAACTATAAAAATATATCATGACTAGTTGTTATAACAAATTTTTAAATTTAATATATCTACTTTTATTCAGTAACTTTTTGTTTATTTATTCATTAATTTATTACTTTTTGCTAAAACCCCTTGAATTTGTACCTCTTTCTGTACTATAAAGCATTTTCTAATAAAGTTTATACAAAAAAAAAATAAAATAAAAAAAATAACCAGGAGCTTGGGTTTTATTTCCGGAAGCAGATGAACCAATCAAATTAGCGCTGCAGTGTTCTGTAGGGGGGGTGCGACCAATCGGAAAAGATGGCCACAGCAAAGTAGTGATGTCACCGGAAATCATTCTGCTTTTCAGAATAAAACGTCTAGAAGATGTTTAATTTTGGCAGCAGTACCCGGAAATGGATATTTAGCCTCCATCGTCGCACTTGTCGCAGGTGGGAAAGCAGCAGAATGTAACGGTTCCTCTCCTCACATCTTCACGGAACAACCAAAGCCGACCTCTCCGCCTTTAACTACGGCGAGTTGAATCCGTGTTTTTTTCTTTTTCTTTTTTTTTCGGGGGATGGGTGTCGCGCGGACGGCAAACGTTTAAAAAGATGTCCAAGATCCTCGAAGCGGCGGCGAAATGGGACCGAACGGCTGCGGCGAAGAGAGCGCTGATCCTGGCGGCCGCCGCTTACGGCGTTAGGACGCTCTACCCCATCATCTGGAAGCAGCTCTGCGGAAACAAGAAGCCCAAAAGCGACCGGTTATTAGCCTCCCAGCCGGAGAACGGCTCAGCATGTCCGGGGAAAGCTCAGATAGACTCTGCTGGTGACAGGAAAGCATCCCCAGGAGTCAATGCGGAGTTTTTTAAGCAGATCCTGGAACTTGCTAAAATCCTCTTCCCCAAGCTTGTATCTAAAGAGCTAGGATTGCTGTGTTTGCACTCCGTGGCGCTGATCTCCAGGACATTTCTGTCTATTTACGTGGCAAGCCTGGATGGGAAGATAGTGAAGACGATCGTGGAGAAAAAGCCTCGGCACTTCATCATGCAGCTGATGAAATGGCTCCTCATCGCCATCCCGGCCACGTTCGTCAACAGCGCCATCCGGTACCTGGAGTGCAAGCTGGCTCTGGCCTTCCGCACCCGGCTGGTCAAGCACGCTTACCGGACCTACTTCACCGATCAGACCTATTACAGAGTCAGCAACATGGACGGGAGGCTCGCCAACCCGGATCAGTCTCTCACCGAGGATGTGATGATGTTCTCCCAATCTGTGGCTCATCTCTACTCCAACCTCACCAAACCGATCCTGGATGTGGTGCTGACCTCCTACACGTTGATTCAAACCGCCAGGGCGAGGGGAGCCAGCGCCAGCGGGCCCACCCTGCTGGCTGGCCTGGTGGTCTTTGCCACGGCCAAGGTCCTGCGTGCATGCTCCCCTAAGTTTGGCAAACTGGTGGCAGAGGAGGCACACAGAAAGGGTTACCTGCGCTATGTGCACTCCAGGATCATTGCTAATGCAGAGGAAATAGCTTTTTACAGAGGACACAAGGTAATTTATAAAGGCTTTATACAGCTTTATCACATAAATCCCTTTTAAATGCTGCATTCATCTGAGTATTTCAAATGAGTCTTATGAGTGTGCACCATCCTTGCATGGTGGTGGATGCATCATGCTGTGATGGGGTGCTTTTTATCAGCAAGTACAGAGTGCAGAGTTAAATGCAACATACCACAAGGAGAAAAAATACAGCTGGATGATGAAAAGGCCTGAGATAAGATAAAGGTTCAACTTCTAGAATCCAACCCTGCTATGGAATAGTTTAGGCCAACCTACGGCTCCTTAGACACTACACTTTATCACTTTGGCTAAAAATGATGAAGAGTCGGTTCATTTTTACAATAGATGCATTTTCTCTTTTCTGGTTGCATTGAACAGATGACAAAGATATGTTTTTTAAGCTGGAAAAAGGTTGTTTTTTCAACATGATTTAAAAAAAAAAAATCTAAACTTTTTCTAGATATGTGTGAAAGGTTGGCTGTGAAAGGAAAAAAAAAAAGCTTGTGGAAGCTCAAGTTGAGTTTTATTAGCTAAGCTGAAGTTAAATATTGTTTTAAATTCTCAAAATAGACTGTAATTGATAACATTAGAAATTTTACTTTTATCTTTTTTAAGGGGGACATCTTTTTTTTCTTATGCTGATTATCAGCAACCCGTTAAGTGTGTTTATTCCCTTTTTTTTTTGCATTTTTCCCCTTTATTTTAGAACCTATAGATGATACTGCATAATGTTTGTTTAAAAATGAAAAATCTCTTGTCATGGATCTTTATAAAATGTAGGTTTCTTTTGGTAAAAAATCGTTCTAAATCATTTTATAAGCTGGAATGAAGTGATAAGGGCTCTTTGCATTGTATAGATTGCAGACCCCTGGCTTACCCCTTAACTTATGGGTTAAAGTGGCCTAGTCAAAGCCCAGAGCTAAATCCGGTGAAGAATATTTGGCAACACTTGGAAAAATCTGGGCTCAAAGACAACTTCTATCCAGATTAAATGTCCTGGAGCTGCTTTGCAGAGACAGACTGCGAAAAGCCTGGAGTTGGAGCAAAAGTTATTTGTTTGTAAAATAAGACTAAAAACTGAACAGAGTAGATTATAACTCCAAATAAAAAATAAAATGGATGTAAGGTTTGTAAGTACATTATTATTAAGCTACCTTCCACAGTACTACTTTGAAGTGGTGAGGTGTTTTAGATCGGACAAAACGTATGTGCTGAATCCCTCTTCTCCGCCATGATGGATTGGTCCTGCAGGTGGAGATGTGTCAGCTCCAGAAGTGCTACCAAGCTCTGGCCGATCAGATGAACCTCATCCTCTCCAAGCGTCTCTGGTACATCATGATCGAGCAGTTCCTCATGAAGTACGTTTGGAGCGGCAGCGGGCTCGTCATGGTGGCCGTGCCCATCATCACCGCCACCGGCTTCGCCGACAACGGTGAGAACTAGCTACCTTCTTCCCCTTTAAACATCATTTAAGGGGAAAACTCACCATTATGGCTTTATCTGTCTGCAGAAACAGCATCCGGACAGGCGCACATGATGGTGAGCGAGAGAACGGAGGCATTCACCACCGCCCGCAACCTTTTGGCCTCTGGAGCCGATGCAATCGAGAGGATCATGTCCTCCTATAAAGAGGTTTGGGCAATCATGCTTTTATTTTATAATGATGAGCAAAAAACAGGATTAACAAAGTTGGTCTAGGAGAAAATAAGTCTCAACCATTTAGCATTTGCATAACTCCTACATAATTTAGTAATTAGTTTTATCGACTCTTATAGACGATACTACAGCATGGGTGACGTTAAAAGGTTCTTAAAGCGTGTTTCTGTGGTGGCGAGGAGGAATTGAAACTAGCTGTAGTGGCGTGTTTTCAGCTTCCTTATCTCTGTCGCCTTCTCTCAGATGCTCCCATCGTGCCACATCCCTCCTACCTGAGTGTGAACACAGAAGCACAGGCGTAAGATAAAAGCAGCTGCTGTGCGTTTTCTCAATTAAAAACAGCTCGTTTTATCGGGTTATAAATGGTATACATTAGAAGAAGAGTGACATCTTTTACACGTAGGAGTAAAAACAATTGATAGATATGTGTTATTGAAATGAACCTGCAAAAGCAACTGCAATAATAGAGATTATATAATCCTAATTCATCAGAATGTCACACAGATATGGCTGGGCTTTCAAAAATTGCAGTTTTTTATTCTTTTTTCAAGATATCTCTTACATTGTTTTAGATCTTGAAATCCCCAACCTTCTCCTTTTTTATCCAAAGACATTTTTTAATCAGCAAGAATTGTATCAAGATGAATACTTGCTGTTTTAGCTCAGGAATTTGAGGTTGTAACTCATTTACAAAACAGAGTTGCAAACTTAAAAGAACACTTTGTTTTTGTTCTGTGTTTCTTCCTTTTAGGGCAAAATAATCTAGTTCTCGTTGTCCTTTCCACTTTTAGGCTTTAGGAAAGAATTTAAATACCAAATAATACTCTGATTGTAGTCATTAAACCTCAGTCATTGAGTCAAATGCTAAAAAAAGGATAAGTAGACAGTTTGAAGAATTTGGGTTCGTTAAGAATAAGTTATAGACGTCTTTTTATTTCACTGAATCAATATTAACTTAAATGAATATTTTAAAGATCCTAAAGAGACAGAAACTGGGGGTAGCTCCCCTCACCGTCTCCTGCAGGTCTCTCCTGGTTGCCATGCTGCCGACGGAGAACAACAATGAAAAGCATCATGCCAGCAACTTTAAAAGTGACACACTGCCAGTGATTAGTCTCATTTCAGTGAAAAGGGTTTCTGTTTGCAAAGCAGGTTATAGGAGCTTTCATTTAATTTCTTTTCTCACAGCTTGTTTGGCAGATGCAGAGCTCCCGTTTGAATTTTTGTTTACTTTGTCAGCCTTTTACATTCAATTGTTTTTTATTACCATCAACTTATTCACAAATAACTCCATAACTAATAACTAAATGACATATGTTGCAGCAGAAGGAGGAAAAAATTCACAGGAAACAGTTTCTGTTTCCAACAGATCAGTGCTGTGTGTGTGTTTCATCGCGTTTCAGATCCCTTCCCGCTCCAGTCTTTGAGGTTTGATTATTTGTAACATGCAAACGATCCTGCGTATGTGTCATAGCTGAAGCGACGGGCATCAAAATGACCCGGCTATATCTGTGGTCAGCCGTGGGCGCATTCAGAGCTCCTTCTCTCAGGCTTAGCTTCGCTTTGAATAATCCACCATCTGTTGATCTTTCAACCCTCTTACTTTCTCTCCCGTCCCGCCAGACTTTACTTCAGCCTTTCAGCAAACTCAATGGGATGATTTCTTTTATTTATTTGCATTTAACAAAACGGAGCCCAATCATTTTAAATCAAGGCAGTCTGTTGTAGAGAAATCCTGCATGAGGAGATTGTTTGTAAAGAAATATCTCTTTAGCTGGACAGAGAATCAGCCGTCTAGGTGTGAACTGTTATGTGTAAACCTTGAAGAACTTTCCAGTGTTTGTTGTTGCTGCTAGTGCCTATGGACACGTTTATTAGGCAGGCAGGAGTACTGATCTAGAAAAGCACATATATCTCTTATTTATTGGCAGAATACAAGGTTTTGATCATTTATTTAAGTAAAAGAATAAATCTATGTTCTGATTGGAGTTGCAATAGGTTGCAACCAGGCAGTTTACTTCCCTCTTTTATTTGTAAAAGACCATAGAATAAAAAAAAAAGATCTAAATAATCACAGACAGTGGCTAGAGGATTGGAGTATCGGCGGCTAGGGCGAACCTCTGCAGAAAGGAAGGCAGGTTAGTGACCACGTAAACCTAATGGAGGAAGATTATGAACTCGAGGCACT